TGGGGGGGGTGGCTGGCGAGGAAGGAGGGATGGATGTTGCCTTGACGCCAAGTCCTGGAGGTCGGCTGGGTGGAGGGCAGGGTCCTATCCCAGGGACTGAAGAGATGCCGTAAAGGAGGAAGCTTTCCTGACTTTGTTGTTGTTGTTGTTAATCCTCACCCGAGGATATTTCCCATCGATTTTTAGGGGGAATGGGAGAGAGAGGGAGAGAGAGGGAGAGAGACGGAGAGACACCAAGGTGAGGGCCGGGCCGGGGAGGAGCCTGCAAGGGAGGTACGTGCCCTCGACCGGAATCGAACCCGGGCTGACCTGCTACCCGCTTCCCACTGAGCCGAGCCGGCTGGGGCCCGAGGACATTTCCCCGTCGGTTTCTAGACAGAGTAGAAGGGAGGGGGAGACGCAGAGAGAAGCCTCGACGTGAGGGACAGGGCGATCGGGTGCCTCCCGCGTGTGCCCCTGACCAGGGCCGGGGACCCGGCCTGCCACCCCCTACAGGCCTCGCCCCTCAGCGTCGGGCCCCCTCTCTGCTCCTGTAAGTGAGCGAATGAAGCCAAAGCTTCCTCGACCCAGCACAGGGCTCTGCAGACCTGGGCTCTGCCCCTCGCGGCTGGGCAGGCCCTGGGGGACCAGGTCTGCCTCTGAGGGCCTCGGCTCCGCCCTCCGGGCCGGGGTCAGCCCTTCGGGGCTAAGACCATCCGTGGGGACGAGATTTTCCTCTTCTGGCCTTGATTCAACTCCTTGGGGCCACGCCAGACGCTGAGGCTCCGACCTTCTGGCCTGGGCTCAGCTGTGAGGGGCTTGGCTAGGCCTGCGGGGCGTAGGCTGTGCTCTCGGGGGCGAGGCTTAGCCCTCGGGGGCCTATGCTCCGCTCTTTGGGGTTCGCTCGGCTTTTGGGGCCTACGCTCGGTTCTCCGGGGACCCTCCCGTCCTTGGGCCGACCCTCTATCCCCGGAGCCAAACCGGCCGGGGCTGCAGGAAGCGTTCCTGGGGGCGGATATGGGATTCTGGTGAGTGAGACGCCTACAATCACCGGGAGGTGAGTGGGTGTCAGCCCGTCCTCCGAGGCCCAGGGCGTTCCCAGCGCCCGTCCCAGTGAATGCGGAGAACAGCTCCCGAGGAAGGGAGGGCACACGGCTCCCCCGGTGCCCGCCTGGCTCTGGGCCGAGGGTATGTGGGGGCCCGGGCGTCTCAGGCAGAGGGACCTCCCCTCTGCGGTTGGGGGTTGGGTACAATCAGGGCAGAACAGGGCTGCTGCCTGGCCCCCCGCCAGGCGGGCAGGGGCTGGGCCCCTGGGAGACGAGGA